GTATAATTTTGTGAAACATGATAATTTTAGGTACATGGGGACAGGTTATCAGGCCCTAAGATGTGGTTCTTCTTATTGGGAAAACCGAAGACTGATTCTGCCCTACCCCAAGGTATTCACACAGGAATGTGCTGTGAAAGGTCCTTACTTGTTCCCAAGCTTACAATTGTGATAGATATGTATACAAATATGTATATCCCCAGGGTGAGTATACACTTCCTTACAATCATTCCTACAATTGCTTTATGGTTTGCCATAAAGCAATTATGAAAAGCCAGCAGGCACAGCAACTGTTCGATTGTTCTACTTATAGTCAGAAGTATCCACAAGGAGAGAAATCTTATAGGAAAACCCAAGATTATTTTCTTGGATGACCTGATAGGATTTTCACCCTTTGCAGCTGTGTGACTGGTAAGAAAATTTCATAGACTAGGAAAGTCAAACATTTGGTTGAAATGTTGCTGCTCTGTTCTCTGCTCTAGCTGGGAGCCATCTTCCTGTAGATGCTACTTTAAAGCATCTCCTCCCTTTGCCTATGTCTATTGATAACTCTTGTCAATTTCTGTCACCCCGATAACAGTCAGTCAATATAAAAATAAAGTTATTTGGAATGTAGTTGTGTATTTGCTAAGAAAATTAGATTTCTATAGGAAATTAAATATTTTTTTTTTTTTTTTTTTTTTTTTTTTTTTTTTTTTAGATGGAGTCTGGCTGTATTACCCAGGCTGGAGTGCAGTGGTATGATCTTGGCTCACTGAAGCCTCCACCTCCCTGGTTCAATCAAGTCTCCTGCCTCTGCTTCCAGAGTAGGTGGGACCACAGCCATGAGCCACCACTCCTGGCTGATTTTTGTATGTTTAGCAGAGATGGGGTTTCACCATCTTGGCCAGACTGTTACTGAACTCCTGACCTCAAGTCATCTGCCCACCTCAGACTCCCAAAGTGCTGGGATTACAGGCGTGAGCCGCTGCGTCCCGCCTAGATGCATATTTTTATTTTCCATTTTCCTTTCAAATGGAAAGGGGAATGCTTTATTCAATCACTGAAAATCTGTGAAATGATTCTCTTTAAAAGACAAACTTTCAAGTCAGTAGACTGTAAAGCAGATTGCCCTCTCCAAAGTGGGTGCGCCCCATCCAATCAGTTGAAGACCTGAACAGTACAAAAAGGCTGACCCTCTCTTGAGTAAGGGGAATCCTCCTACCTGCTGCTTGAGCTAGCACATCAGTCTTTTCCTGCCTTCAGACTCAAACTGAAATATCAGCTCTTCTTGGGTCTCTAGCCTGCTAGCTTTCTGACTGGAACGACATCATTGGCGCTCCTGTGTCCCCAGAGCTTTCTGACTGAAGATCTTGGGATTTCTTAGCCTCCACAATTGCATGGGCCAATTTCTTATTTGTGTGTGTGTATAGATAGATACATACATACATTGATATACATATATATGTATATTAGATATAGATATAGGTATATATCTCCTATTAGCTCTGTTTCTCTGGAGAACACTGACTGATATATTCCTCAAGTAGACTACTGGGCATGAAAGTTGAGCAGGGTCAGTCTTATTTTCGAGATCCAGGTATTTACAATTGTCACTGGTTTAAGAAATAAACTTTTAAATACAAAGTGGTCTATTTGAAAAGAAAAAAGAAATATTCTTGAGCTCAGGAGTTTGAGACCAGCTTGAGCAACATGGTGAAATCCCATCTCTGCCAAAAATACAAAATAATAATAATAATAATAGTTGTGTGTGGTGGCACACACCTGTGGTCCCAGCTACTCAGGTGGCTGAGTTGGAAGGACTGGTTTCACCAGGAGGGAGGTGGAGGTTGCAATGAGCCGAAATCATGCCACTGTACTCCAGCCTGGGTGACAGAGTGAGACCCAATCCAAAAACAGTAATACTTTATCCTAAAGAATATCACTTCAAAGAATGAAGTGACAAGCTAACATTACCTGGATTCCACCTGAATCATCCATGGACCAAGTTTGGTTTTGGGGTTTTTTTCTTTCTCAGTCTGCTGGTTTTAGGTAAATCCATCCCTCATGAGGTCCTAGGTATGAGTTGCAGTAATGTCTCCCAGTCAATGGTAGCTGACATAGAGTCTGGGCCACCTGTCCATGAAGCTTATATATGTGCTCTGGGCCTGCTCCAGCCCAATCTTGGTTGTATCTGATTTTGGATGGATTCCTCAGAGCCTACCTGACCTCATGAGTTGGTGAGTCTGTCAGAATGCCATTCATGATGGGCAGTCCTCATTGCACAGTCTGATGTCCCATGGATAAATGCTCCAGCTTTAGCATGGCCTAGTAGCTGTTTTTTGAATGGCATACAGTTCTCAGTTATAGGTGGCAAATTATCTACTGGGATGTCTCAGGGTACTTCCATGCCAACTAAAAACTGCTAGAGGGTAAATCAACAACTGCAGTTTGATAAAGTCATGGTAACCAGGCTCGTCCTGCCAGGCAAGCTATCAAGATCAACGGAAGTCCAAGAGTGAGAAAAATCTAAAATGGGTGATAGAGGAGAAAAACAATGAATACTAATTAGTATGGATAAATCTCAGGCTGGGCGCAGTGGCTCATGCCTGTAATCCCAACACTTTGGGAACGCCAAGGTGGACAGATCACCTGAGGTCAGGAGTTCAAGATCAGCCTGGCCAAAAAGGCAAACCACCAACTTTACCAAAAATTAGCCAGGTGTGGTGGTGGGCACCTGTAATCTCAACTACTTGGGAGGCTGAGGCAGGAGAATCGCTTGAACCTAGGAGGTGGAAGTTGCAATGAGCTGAGATCACGCCATTGCACTCCAGCCTGGGCAACAAGAGTGAAACTCCATCTCAAAAAAAGATCTCAAAATAGCCAGGCGCAGCTCACTCCTATAATCCTAGCACTTTGGGAGGCTGAGGTGGGTGGATCACCTGAGGTCAGGAGTTCAAGACCAGCCTAGCCATCATGGTGAAACTCCACCTTTAAAAAAAAAAAAAAAAAAAAAAAAAAAAACTCAAAATAATTAAGATGAATGAAAGAAGCCAGTCCAAGAAAAAAAAAAAAAGAATATATACTATAGGATTTCATCTATTTAAAATTCTAGAAGATACAAACTAATCTATAGTGACAGAAAGCAGATAAGTTATTACCTGGAGATAGAGTAGAGTGGACTGAGAAGACAGGATGGAGGAGGAAGCATTACAAAGGACATCAGGAAACATATGTTTATTATCTTAATTATGGTGATGATGTTATGAGTATATGTACATGTCAAAACTTGTCAAATCCTACACTTTAAATATGTGTGGTTTATTGTATGTCAATTATATCCCAGTAAGGCTGGTTTTTGAAAAACTCATCAAGGCCAGGTGCAGTGGCTCATGCCTGCAATCCCAGCACTTTTGGAGGCCGAGGAGGGCAGATCAGCTGAGGTCAGGAGTTCGAGACCAGCCTGGCCAGCATGGCAAAACCCTGTCTCCATTAAAAATAGAAAAACTATCTGGGCGTGGTGGTGCACACTTGTAGTCCCAGATACTCAGGAGGCTGAGGCAGGAGAATGCCTTGAACCCAGGAGGCAGAAGTTGCAGTGAGCTGAAATCGAGCCACTGTACTCCAGCCTGGGGGACAGAGCGAGACTCTGTCTAAAGAAAGGAAAAAAAAAAAAGAAAGAAAAAAAATACCTCATCAAATTGTACACTTTAAATATATGTAGTTTATTCTATGTAAACTATAACTCAATAAAGTTGTAAAAAAAAATTAGATTTAGGACCAGCTGTAGCTATCGTAGGGAGCTACTGTGCATCCCACTAGCCCTCCTGTGTAAAGGGCTTACTTATCCTTTACATGTATTCACAGTCTGTATAAAAGCAGGTTTCTGCCTTTTTCCTCCAGCAGTGAGTTTTCTCAGGAATTATGACCACGGAATCTTGGAGAAGCTGTGTCGAGATACAGTGAACTTAATGTGAGAAGGAAAGAGACAAATAGATCTGTGTTGTGCAAATGGCTGACTGGGATAGATGTTGCTTTAGGGCGTCCTCCTTACTGAAATCCTCCTTACTAGGCAGTGTACCCTTCCCCTGCAGCTCTGGGTATTGACTGTCAATGGCTCATAGGTGCCTCTCCTCTACAGCAATTGTTGTTGGCTAGTGCTCCCACCCTCTCCAGGCAGCTCAGAGCCCTTGACCGATTGACAGAAAGAAACAAGAGGCAGGCCCTAGCCTCACAGAACAGCTCTGTATCATGGTTTATGCTCCAGAGTCATCATAAGCCAAAAGTAGACTTTTTCCTGAGGCCACATCCTTGGTTGGCTCTTTCCCCTTCTCTGTTCTGCTTCACTCACTCCCTTTTAGGTATTGCCTGAGAAGCCCTCCATCTATCAATCACAGGCATCCAAATTCCTGTCTCAGGCTTTGGCTCTAGGGAACGTAACCTAAGAGAACTCTGAACAAACTTGCCAATCAGTACTGAGACCCAGCTCCAAGAAGCCACCTCCTGCCCATCTGTGTTGGCTTGTATGTTCTAAATGCGACCTCAGTCCATGTCCTTCTGGCTTATATGTTATCTCTGGGTTTACCTTTATATCTGCTCACATCCTGCCTAGAACTAGGTTCCTGCCTTTTCCCTCCCAGCAGAGTGATACCCACCAATTCTCTATCTTCATTGCTCAACTTACATCCACCATTAAGTCATAATGAATCATCTTGAGAACTGTCAAGAATCAACTCTCGATCTGGGCTCATTGTGACTGGGCCTCATTACTCCATGAATTCTTAGAAAACACTTTTTTTTTTTTTTTTTGAGACAGAGTCTCGCTTTGTCACCCAAGCTGGAGTGCAGTGGTGCGATTTCAGCTCACTGCAACCTCTGCCTCCCAGGCTCAAGCGATTCTCCTGCCTCAGCCTCCTGAATAGCTGGGATTATAGCTGTGCGACACCATCCCAGCTAATTTTTGTATTTTTAGTAGAGACAGGGTTTTACCATGTTGGCCAAGTTGATCTTGAACTCCTGACCTCAAGTGATCCTCCCACCTCGGCCTCCCAAAGTGCGAGGATTACAGGTATAAGCCACCATACCCAACCACTAAACACTTTCTGATTAATTGCAATAGGGACCTGAAGCAAATGTACAAATAATGTATTGATAAGAAAATTATTAATATTTTTAGAGCAAACAACTTTATAACCAAATGTCAAAATTGAGTTAAAAGCTTAACGTTGCTTACCTTTCCTGTGTAACCCAATTGATAACTAAATCTAACCGTTTTTCTGATAATCCACATTTGATTCCTTCCAGGGTTAGAGCTGCATCAACAGGACATCGAAAAGCATGACTTGTGATAAAGAGGGCCTCAAAAAATAAGAGTAATGGAAGAGGCTTTCCTCTAATTTTTCCAACAGCTACAGAAAGAAGAAAATTTTCTGAGTCAAATACTTTAAGAAATAGTTTGCTTTTTCTTATTTCATATTACTATTTTCGTGCCTTTGGTTTTTGAAAACTTTAGCCATCTAAAATTATACATTTATAATTTTTAACACATGCTTATAAAGTTTATACTTTGGATAATAACTAAATGTCACGTGCCAAGTGAAGATGGAGGCAGAGACTGGAATGATCTGCTACCAGTCGGGGGAGGCTAACAATCCTGACAATCCTCAGAAGCCAGGAGAGAGGCATGGAAAGGAACCTCCCTTAAAGCCTCCAGAAGGAGTGACCCCTTGACATCATGATTTCAGACTTCTGGCCTCCAGAGCTGTGAGAGAGTATATTTTTCTTTTAAGTCATAGGATTCTCCTGTTAATGATGCCAATTTGCTATGACCAAAGAAAACAAAAGGTGCTGCTGCAGATACACAGAGGGTAAAATTCCTAATACAAACTATCCTGCTCTAATGACCAGTCAAATGAGGCATATATAAAACTGGACATTTAGAGGTATATATTTAGTCTAATATACTCTAACTTTGAAAATAATTCAAGGAGAATGACAAGTTAGGATCCTGAAATTTACATGTAGACTCAGCCACTGACCAAATAAAGTATGTCAATTTCAAATCAGCATGACTACAATTCACTTCTTTATTAAGCTGTATGTACACTCAATGCTTGAACTTGCAGGGGAGGAAGACTGTCCATTTGAATTCTTAATTAATTCATCAGACTATTTTCCTTTTGTGAGCAGAAAATAATTTTACCACCATAACTTATTTCCTAGATTTTTATTGAACTCTCCTCCTCAAAGTCAAGTGAGACATTTTAGAGAGAACAACTGGACATGGGTGTCTTACAATTTTGAGAACAAAAAGACCAGAGCCTGATATTTGCCTGGAAAGTTTAAAGGTGAAAGGCTAGATTGAGTAAAGGGAATTAAAGTACAAGCAAATTCTACTTCGACAAGATTGCATGTTCCTCAAGGGTGAAGGAGATTCCATGGAAGGCAGCTAGGCTGGTTGTCTTGAAAAGGCCCTCTCAGAGAGGTCTGCATGTGGGACCAGATAACTCCACTAAAGAGAGTCTTTGGGGGCACACCCTACCAGAATTAGCTAAAGGGGAATCATAAGCAGCCAGCTAAAGTAATACCCCCCGAATCAATAAAAGGCACAATGGAAAGTCCCCAGCTAAAAAGCAAAGATTAAAGCAGTCAACTAGGAGCCAACATGGGGCATCTGCCGCACCCAAGAAACATCAAAGCCAAATGACCACTGCACCTGTTGAGAAGATCTTTCCTGTCCCTTACATAACCCCACTGCAAAGCTGCCTCGTGATTAGAAGAGGAGGGAGTAGCAGAGTAAAGAAGAAGCAAATATGTCTCCTGAGCCTCAATAGGTTCTAGAGCCAAATCAGAGCAAAACCAGGGTAAGGGGGAAATTTTTAATTCAACAAGCGATTATAGTTTCTATTTAGTTTAGGCTAGACTTTTGGGTATCTAAAAATAAAACTATTAGTATCTGAAAGTGAATGAAAAGAAGCTATGTGATATGACCAGTATATTGTCCAATAAAAGAAATAGGAAAGTCAACACAGCCCTTTTAAAGGGCAATGGAGAGGAAGAATAAAGTTGTACTCTATCAAGTCTAGCTTGAACTTTAGACTCTATCATATCTAACTGATCTATGATTCAGTTTCATAGATATCAAACTTGGTAAAACCAGGTATGAAATAAAAAATTGATTCTGGGTCTGATTGAGGATCTACCAACAAAATGTATGGATTTTCACATACAGAATATATAATACCTATTTTTATTGTTCACAGACTTTTAAACTTACTTCTCAATTCTCAGATACACTGTATTATTAATAAAATTAATTCTGAATAAGTGGCATGGTACTAAAACCCCTAAAGCTTATATAGTGCTTTGAAATTATCAACTGATCTTAACCAATGACCCTAATAAGGTGGGTATCATCAACATTCCTAGCTTTCTTTTTGTTTGTTTGTTTGAGACATGGTATCACTCTGTCGCCCAGGCTGGAGTGCAGTGGCACAATCACGGCTCACTGCAGCCTTGACTTCCCAGGCTCAGGTGATCCTCGCACTTTAGCTTCCTGGGTAGCTGGGACTACAGTCATGTGCCACCACGGCCGGCTAATTTTTTGTATTTTTTGCAGTGACCAGGTTTCGTCATGTTGCCCAGGTTGGTCTTGAACTCCTGAGCCAAGCAATCTGCCCACCTAAGCCTCCCAAAGTGTTGCTATTACAGGCATGAGCCACTGCACCTAGCCAAAATTCCTATTTTTCAAGTAATAAAACTGAATTTCAAGGAGATAAGGTAGCTTGCCCAAAGATCACAATGCAAGTGTATACTAAAGACAAAATTGAAACAAAAGTATTGTGCCTCCTACGCAACATTTTATAATGTTCTATTCTCTTCATGTTTTGTGATTAATTAAATATGTATATATTTACACACATATATGATAGAAGAAAATAAAATATTTCTTATACCTACTATAGATTAACAAGATTAAGCACAATTCAATTAGACTTTGAAGTAAAGATGGTAGACTGAACACACATATTCAATCTTAGTTCATAAAGTCATTAAAGTAACAGTAAAGAAATTTCACAGAGCAAATTTAAAAGGAAATAACCAACACAATTCTGAAAGCCAGAAAATAGAGGGTGGCAACTAGCGTAGCAGATTCTTAAAAGTTTGATTCCTAAACTGTCAATAAGGAAAACCAAGAAGAAGCAATTCAATACACACCAAACGACACATAAAGTCTCAGGAATTGTCAGCACCAGGAACCTCTGTAATGAAATGAACTAAAACTAGAAATCTTGGCTGAAAGACTGTTTAAAAAGCTATCCCTCACCCAGTCAGATGATACCCCCTTCCAGTACCTAGAAAAAACTGAGGCTTATTTTCTGAAAAAGATAAAACAAAAGGTGTCTACATGAAGACAACAGGCACAGTTGAGGGTAGGAATACAAAACTGTTAATATTCCTTCTTTGAATTTCCAGAGAATGTTCTTCGTATCACTAAAATCACACTACATGTAAGCTCCGTGTTGTAAATCATTTGTGAAGGTTTTATTTTCTGCTGTATCCCAGCACCTAGAACAATGCCAAGCACATATCAGAGAACTAACTTTGTTGAATGAATGAAAGAATAAATGAATAAACAAACGAATAAGCTAGTTCCACACTTGTCTGCCTCTTCATCTCTCTTTTCGATTAGACCTTTATCTCATTGAAAGGATTGGGTCTTACTCATCTTGTATCTTAGTACCAAGGTCATAATAGTTTAATCTACAGTTAAAAACAGTCTATTTATAGAAATTTTCTGAAAATGTTATAGGAATGTACTGCTGTGAACATTATCAGAAGCTCTGTTTCTACCAATGATACCATCTTTGAGCTTTAATATGTCTTAAAAACTAGGTTTTATACAAACTTTTAAAAACAGAAAGCAACTGTCTCAAATATAAGTATTTTAAGATTTAAGTAATTTTAATCTAGTCTAAGCTATCAAACTTGAGAGAGGCCTTTAAAGATCTAAGACTCTGAAAACATGACAGTGTGGCTTACGTGGACTACTGATCCTGGCTATATTTTTCCCTCTCCTTAGATAAAGTAAAACAGCCTATATCCACATGGGAATTGAGTCTGAATTTCAGTTATGTATGTGATTCAGGAAGCCAAAGCCAAGAAATTAACAAAGAGCAGCTTAAGGCTGTTGAAACATTAGAGACCAGGCAGAGACAAATATAAAGCCTTTCCAGAGAATACACACTAATCCCACAGTAGGGGAGAAATTAAGATCACAATATTATAATTTTTTAAAGTGTACAATATTATACATAAAAATTATCAGTCACACAAATCACATGAGCAAGAGTGAGGATATCCAATAATCTGGAGAATTTATATACTTCAGAACTAGAAACAACTGACTATAAAAGAGACTATAAAATATCTATGTTTGGGTGGGCACAGTGGCTCACGCCTATAATTCCAGAACTTTGGGAGGCCAAGTCGGGCAGATCACTTGCGCTCAGGAGTTCCAGACCCTCCTGGCCAACATGGCAAAACCCTGTCTCTACCAAAAATATAAAAGTTAACTGGGTGTGGTGGTGCATGCCTGTAGTCTCAACTACTAAATGGTTGAGACATAAGAATCATTTGAGCCCAGGAGGAGGAGTTTGCAGTGAGCTGAGATCACACCACTGCACTCCAGGTAACAGAGCAAGACTCTGCTCCTGCCAAAATAAAAAAAAAAAAAAAAAAAAAAAAACTGAACTCCCAAATTATACTGAACACAAAACCAAGTTTCAGGTAGCTTATAAACCTAAATGTGAATAGCAAAACTATGATATTTTCAGAGCAGAAAAAAGAAGAATGATTTGGGATAGGGAAGGACTTTTACATAACACATAAAAATAACCTCAGAGGAAAAGACTGATACATTCCACTACATTAAAATTTAAAACTTCTGTTCATCTTAAGATATCATAATGAAAAAAAAATATTTGTAACTCATTTTAATTAACAAAAGACTAATATTCATAATACATAAGTAACTCCTAAAAATCATTGAGAAAAATATAGACAATCCAATAGCAAAATGGGCAAAAGATCTTAAGTACTTCACAAAACAGGAAATCCAAATACAAAGATATATATATATGAGCTGGGTACACAGGCTCACACTTATAATCCCAGCACTTTGAGTGGCCAGGGTGGGAGGATTGCTTAAGGCCAGGAATTTGAGACCAGCCTGGGCAACATAGCAAGTCCCCATCTCTACAAAAAAAACTTTAAAAGTTAGCCAGGCATGGTGGCTCACAGCTGTAGTTTGAGAGGCTGAGGTGGGAGGATCACTTGACCCCAGAAGGGCGAGGCTGCAGTGAGCCATGTTTGTATCACTGCATTTCAGGCTAGGTGACAAAGCAAG